TAATCGTATAAGGGTCTGAATATAACATTATTTTTTTATATATTGATTCGATATTATATATAAATATTTATATGTAATGTATCACCACTTAGCTTCATTATGTATATTTTAGCGCCATAATGAAACTAGTACAATAATGTCTCGCTTATATTCTGAAAGATATGATAATTATTGCTTTGTTCTTTCATACTGTAACGTCTCGTCTAGGGCTGTTCAAAACCGAACCAATCCAATATAAAATCGCAAAGTCGAACCAAATCAAACTGAAACCGCAAAAAAATGCATTTAGTTCGGATGTGTTTGGACCATTTTTTAACAAAACCGTGTAGTTCAGTTCGGTTTGCGGTTTGAATTTTACAAACCAAACCAAACCAAAGCAAACCGTATTATGCTACAACTCAAACTTTAATTAACCCACATCCAACCCATACTTAAACCTTTTATGCCTTAGCCTTATCCTTACGATTACAAATTATTTTCTCTTCCTCACACTTAAAGTTTCAATTTAAGTCTTCTCAAATATCTCATAACGGTATCACGCCTTCTTCTAATCTTATTTTCCAATTACATCTCATCTCTTATTCTCTAGTCTTTAATCTCTTATGTTCTTTCTTTTCATCTTATTATTTTTATTCTAATGTTCTCTCTTCCAATTATGCTTTAAATGCACCTGTTCTTCTCCAATCTCTCATCTCTTATGCCATTTGTTTTTCATCTTCTCTAATCTTTCATGTCCTATGTTTTTTCTATTTCATTATAATATTTTTGATATTATTTTATGCTACTATTTTATGTTTTTGTTCCACTTTTCTCTAATATTATTTTTGTATATTAGATGGAAAGTAGTTGTCCAAATATGATGAATTTTGTTGTTATTTGATAATACTTAAATTACTAAATATAAAACTATATTGTCATCTATATGTGTGTATATATGACTCAATATTTTTTTTGTAAAAAATCGAACCAACTGAACCAATCCAAACCGCATTGATTTAGTTTGGTTTTATTTTTAAAATTCAACCGAACCAAACCGAACCACACACTTTTTTCTCTTGCAGTTTAGATGATTTTTTACGTCAAAACCGCCCAAACCGCACCGCGAACACCCCTCTCGCCTATATACATATCCATATTGTTACTTAGTTACTATAATATATATATATATATATATATATATATATATATATATATATATATATATATATATATATATATATATATATATATATATATATATATATATATATATATATATATATATATATATATATATATATATATATATATATATATATATATATATATATATATATATATATATATATATATATATTTCATTAATAATATAAAAATAATAATAAATAATAATATAATATTTAGGAGTTAAATATTTGAGTCAATTGGATAATTTAAGTTATTTTCAATTTCGATAAAGTTTTCAATACAATTGTTAGAGTTGTTAATAGAGTTGTCAATAGAGTCCTTAGAGTTATCGGTAAAATTGTCAGAGTTGTTTTGAGTTAGTAAGAGTCATATTTTAATGATTTTGTGTAATTCTGATATGTTTAGAGTTGTTAGCATATGATGTTGGTGTTTGCATTTTCGTTGAAACTTTAAAAATTCATAACTTTTGAACTGTAACTCAGTTTGAGTCCCCGTTTAAAGCGTTAGAAAGTTAGCGTGATATTCTTTTCAATAAAAATATTTTTGTTGGCAGTAAGTGATTTAATCATTACATGGTTGTGTAAAATGACATGATATATGTATCTTTGTGCAATGGTGAATATGATTCATATGTGGTGAATTAGGTGATGCATGCTTGTAATTAAGATTGATAAATGGTCTTAATTTGCATATTATTGTTGAGATTGCACATGCATCATTTGTTGTCAATAGACAATGTTTGCTAGTTTCGTGGAGACTATTGACTTGTCTCAAACCTGAGGGATGAGTTTGAAAGCTTGAGGGATGAACTTTTTGGTGATTATCTCTCTGAGAGATGGACTCGACAAGAGCAGTAAGGATAATAATTGGTACCACATGTATATTGTATTGTTTTGAGTTGCATTGGAGTCACATGTGTTGATGTGAAATGTTGTGTTGGTGTGCTATATGTAATATTGACGTGAATGTTATATTTTGTGGTAATTGTGATTGATTATCTTTGAATCTTGAATTGTTGAGCAATGTTGTACATACAAAATTGTGAATTATTGACACATACTTGAAAATAATATGATAAATTGGGTGATGTTATATTTTATAAAGCATATGAAGTGTGAGAATATGGTATATATTCATGTATGCCAAACTTTATATATTATTGGACGATTTTGATAATTATGTGAATTTTTACCCTTTTGTTAGAATGATATTTTATACGATATCACTCAGGTACCGAAGATAATGGTGCTTCTAGTAAGGATTATTCGGAGGAGCTAGTATTTTATTTAACCTTATTTAGGTAGTAAGTCATGTTCTGGTTATGTAACACGAGGAAACGTTTGAACTCACGTTTGTTTTGAGAGATGTTTGTTATACTCTCCTTATTTATGATGTATTGATATTATGTGATGGGTGACTTTTAGTGCCTAATGTTTTATTATATAATTGTCATTATGAGATTTCAATTATTGATATCGTTTGTGAAAAGAGAATTATTCTGTTGTGAGATACATATGTGTATGGAACATGATTTAAATGCGTGTTATGAGAATGACCGGTGTATTTTGTGTTGTGGTTGTGAAGTACATGTGACACCCTCTTTTAATATGCATGCTAATTTACTCTGATTATGCCATATAATTGTGCGGGAGTTTAGAGGGTGTTACACCTCCCTTGATACGGATGCCCAAATTGAGCAAGACAAGGTGGCGGAGGAAGTTCATCCATAGGATACTTCTGAGGAAAAATGGGACTCTAGGGAAGGGCGGTGATCTTTTGGCTTTGTTGTTTACTTTTAGCCCTTTGTGGCTTACTTGTGTATTACCTCCCTTAGTGTTTTATTCGGACATTCCCTAAGGGCTTTTTATGTAATAAAAAATATTGCCCTTGTGAGGCTTCCTTTACACTTTCATCCTTGGTAGTTGATTAATTGTTTTGTCTGTATGCTCTTACTTCTCGTGTGAATTATCTTTAGAACTTTCTTTGAGCTGGTTTTGGTCAAGTAATGGTTTTTATAATGAAGATGATAATTTTGTCCCTGAGGCGACAAGGATTCTTTCATGAGGATCCAACATATGTGATCGCCTCAAAGGGCGATAAGGACTCCTTCATGAGGGTCCAACATATGTGATTGCCTTGAAGGGCGACTAGTATTCCTCCATGAAGATGCATCACATGTAATCGTCTCGAAGGGCGATAAGGATTCCTCTATGAGGATCCAACATACGTCGTTGCCTTTATTGGCGACCTCAATATGGTTTTCTCTTTCTCAAGATTTGTAAACAAAGTCACGATAATTCTGACTATATAAAAGGTGAGACACCTCATTAAAAATCCATGCGCCTTAGTGCCAATGTAGGGAAAATATATTTTTGAATTTTCATAAGATTTGGGAGTACTACATGGAGTATAGTGAACAATACTCAATATGTAAGTCATTGTCACAAATACGTTAAAAGTTAAAAATTGTGTAGATAATGTATATGCAATTGAAGTTTGAACTTCAAACATGCTACAATCTATAGAACCCAAGATAAGAATTTGAATTCCTTGTCGTTGGCATTTTCACGCATCCATGTTATCATGATGATATTAACTGTTTAATCTTGATCATACGACTCACAAAAAAACATCTTAATTTTTCTAAAATTACTTTTAAATCGTAATCGTCCAATATTGACCGGACAATCAAATATACTTGAGTAAATTTGAATCCATAAAATAGAAGACCCAATTGTTTCAATTTTTTAAAATTATTTTTATAATATTACATTTTTCAATTAAAAAAATTATAAATATTTTTTTAAAAAAAATTCTTTAAATAACAATTGATTTAAATGATTATTCATAAAATATATTTTTAAGTATTTCATCCTTTTTACTATAACTTTTTTTAGTTATCTAAGTTTTCAACAAAAAAATCACTTAAATTTATAACTAATTTAAATAAACTTTCATAAAATTTAATTTCGAAAATTATGTGATTTTAAATATGTTTGAATATTATTATTATATTTAGACCTCTTCAATATTTTGAACTTGAGAAGTGAGAGCCACAACTTTCCATGTTTACTTCATCCTTGGTAGTTGATTAATTGTTTTTCCTGCGAATGCTGCTCCTGATTTCTCTCTAATCCAAGTTGATGCAGGGTGTTTTCCTGATGGGAGCTATGCAATGGTCTGTGTGATTCAAAGTCTGCATGGAAGTATCAATATGTCTGCTTCTAAGCTGGAACATGGGACGGTGGATCTTGTGTCACAGAAATCTTGGCCCTTAAATGGGATTTGTAGTGACTTGTTTAAAGAGTTTAAATCTCTTATCTCTTGGACCAATCAATGGTTGGTAAAAATATAGTAGTAACCTTCAAAACATATTTCAAAAAACAAGTAGATAACACTATACAAATATTTGTCACTGACACAATAAATTACTAGTCAATAATATCTTCCCAATACAACACAAGAAAAAAGTATATACATACATTCACCACTGTGCAACCAACCATAGACCATCATTAAATTATAAGCTTGATTTCTGAAATACAATGAACAACTTTAACCTATTTCTACATTTTTCACCTTCCAACTCTATCTATCATACAGCTGTATAATCAAATTATTGAACACTATTTATCAAAACATACAAAAGCTTAATGAGAAAGGTTGTACCACAAATAGAAAAATCATAGTATCTAATGTTTACAAGCACCACAACTAGGCTTCTTCTTCACAATAGGAATTCATTTGCCAAAAGAAACCAGTTTCATGCAGAGTGGAAGACATATATATGATCAATCTTTTAACAGGTCAGGCTTATAGAGGTTTGAAGCAGTTTACTCCCTTGGCCGCGCAAGCCATAGAGAACTCAAGGCTCGTAGCCGGGAGAAATAATCGCTTATTGCAAGAAGAGCTCGAGCTGATTGCCTGGTTGTTAATATCCGAAGCATCTGTTGCAGTGTTTGCTGCCGCAGATTATCAGCCTAGAAACATGAAGAAAAAAGAGCTGTAATGAATCAATTTGTTGCACATGCATATCCGTGTCATGTCGATGTCAAACAATGGCATGTGATAAAGGAATAGACTGGTATAAAGCAGACAAGTAATTACCTGGCGAAGAAACCCTTCGAGAGTACCGAGCTTTCCCATGGCCATAGCCATTTGGCCCATGTAGTTAGCCACATTTCCAGAAGAACCTGATGGGTTGGGTGAACCATTAGCCAAAGTCTCAGAAAGTGATTGCTGCAAAGCATCCATTCCTTGGGAAAGAGCATCTTCGGCCTGTTGAGATGACTGTTGCAAGTTGTAGATGCCCATTAATTGTTGCTCGGTTAAAGGCTCCAAATGACTTACAAGAAGCTGCATCGATGGAAATCCAGGTTGAGATCGGCATAACGTGAGAAAAAGAAATAATGGAGAATAGTCAGATAAGAAAAAATTTCACCTTAAGAATTTCGGATGACCGAAAGCCTCCAATCCACATGAAACACCTCTCAGCTGGAGTCTTCCACATTCCTGATAGAATGTGGAAAACATCAGCTTTTGCTGCAACACCTTTCAGCCTGTAGATATCTTCAAATTGAGTCATGAAATTGTCCACAATGGTGCGAAGTTCAATATCTCCCGCGTGAGAATTTATTGCAGCCCTTAGCTCGTTGGTTTGCCTATTATGCTCTTCTAACCATCGTGCATATTCTGCATCGAACGCCATCGCCCCTGCATACCAAGACCGTTTAAACAATTTAGGTTCGGAAACACAGCACAAACTATACAGTAAAACTTTGCGCATGAGGCCGTCGTCACCCATGCTGCCAACTGCTTTCGACATATAATTAACCGCAAAAGAAGATTAAATACCATTTCCACTCATCGAATGAGTCTGCTCTCCAGTGCTTGAAATAAAAATCCCCTAGAAAATATTAATAACCAAATCATTACATAATATAGCAACATAACAAGATTAACAATAGCCACAAAGAAATAGGGCTTCAAATTGTTAAGTGTCAGATTTTGAATGACATATAAAATTGCAAAACCGAACCTGCTGGCGTGCTCGCTGTAGCTCTTGCTCCAGTTGGGTCAGTTTCAGCCTACTGCTCTCTAACTGTTGCACATATGCCTGAATGAATGGAAAGAAGGATTTGAAAATTACTAACCGAATTGCATACAAAAGAAACAGTTTAGTACAATTAAAATAAGAAGAAAAAAGGCTTGTACCTTTTTCCTCAGTCGGCTTTTTCTGGCAGCCTCGCGATTTTGAGCTAACCGTCTTAACGTCTGAATGAAAGCAAAATTTAACATATAGTAACAAATGTTTTTGTCTATGTGAATATAATTTACGTTATAACCTTTTGATCTGATTTATCTTTTGATCTTTCACTTGATTCTCCCCTTTCAGGCTGCAAAATAATAACGAAGAAAAATATTTTATTAGAGTTCGTAAAAAACACGCTTGACTGTTTGGATAAAAATTAAATTCGAGATTGAGAATAAACAGTTTTATTAAAGTAAAGCAATCACCATTTGATTTTTGTCTTCTGTATCATCTGTTGAAGTATCAGGGCTTCCATCACCCATGTTGGACTCTCCCCAGTTCTCGCGATGGCCGCCAGATGTTGAAGCCAAATTTGACTGCGACTCTTTTTGTTGTTGCAATGTCTGAGATCCAGCAATTTGCAATGTCTGAGATCCAGCAATTACAGCAGAGAGGTTTATATGCGAGTTTACAATTGACTGTAACTTACGTGTAAGATGAGAGTATGCAAAATGCCGAAATTCATTAGATTTTTGCAACTTATTGATTGATTATTGGAAAACAATTTACCTTACTTAGAGCACCAAATTGAATATCAGCACCTAAAGCTTGGCTATTTGCTTTCATTTGATTAAACACTGGATCTGAAAAAAGATATTCAACTAAATCGGTTAATCGATGATTTATAAGATTCCATTGAGAGGGGGACAACTACTCTAAAAGATGATACTCAACTAAATTGATTGATATACATCAGTTAATGTTCAAAACGTGAGCAACATACTTCTGCTAAGATTCATGGCATCCTCGACACGAAATCCTAGAGATTGTTCAAGGGCTCCAAAATCAGAAATTCGAGAAGGATGAATATTAGTTCCTTCCATGCCCCTGAAAACCAAAAGCATGACAAAATGTTAAAAAATAAATATACGCATATCCAATAATCTAAGAAAAATTGAAAATCAATGCAGCCAATGACGAAATCCATTTTTCGAAGCTAAGAAGGGTCCTGTTTGGATACTCAAGATCTAACATCAACTGCACAAGTATGAACACGAAAAGTAGTAGCAAACTTCTAACAGAAAGTAAAGCCACAAAAAGAAAACAGCTTATATGGCTGTGTAGAATTAATACTGTAATGTGAAGCAAACAAGAGTTTTCATCTCCACGTGTGTTTGGTTCTGTGGTGGAAAAATATAATTATGGGTGAATTGATTCTGGCTAAATGTGAGTTGAAGATAAAGTGATTTATGTTTGGAAAAATTCTTGCAAAAGTGAGTGAAAGAGTAAATTTCAGTGTAAAAATCATGTTTGGACTCAAGCTACAAATCCTAGCTTCAAGTAGAATCAATTCTAGATAGCAAAAGCAACCAAACATGTCAATCAATTCTATGCATCCAAAATCAATTTTAAGTTATCCAACCGTGAAACCAAATATACAACTACATGGTTTTAAAATTAGATCTACGACTGTGATATGTGGCATCACAACATTAAAGTTCTCTCTCAATAAATCATCAATAGTATTTGACTGCAATTCTCAGCAATATCAAGATATGTGTAGCTACCCAATTTAAAACCTTGTTCATCCATGCTCCAAAATTAGGAATTATAAATAACTAATAAACAACGAGATCAGAACATGACACTTTTTATTTTATCATTTCCACCATTCACACTTTCCTATGCAATACTGCAATCAAAAAACCCTAAATTCAACAACATAGCTCTCCAACAACATACACAATTTCTACAACTTATATAAGAGATGCACTTTGGTATATAATATTATTGACTATACCCAGGGCACGTCTTTGAGGGTGCAAGGCGGACTTGTTAAGTGTAATGAAGAAAAATAGAAATAGTTGAACTTGGTAATAGATATTTGAGGGTCTGCAAGGCGGACTACCGCCAAGGACCAGAATTTGTCACAGTTAAGCCATGTTTAAATAGGGCCTCGTAAAATGTTTGTCACGATTAAAAAGTGACTAAAGAGGTTAACAGGGCCTCTATTTCTTTTGTCACGACTAAGTTGTGACTAATCTACACAGGGCTCCAAAAACTTAAACGAGACTCTGCTTATACAAACCATCTAAGCACATAAAAAGAACACTAAACAAAAAACAAACCCCAAAAACCTATATCAAGATCAATCAAGAGTAAGATAAACACAAAGTCCTCATAAAAGTTTACAAGGAATTAGGCGGTGGCAATGGAGGAGCGTAACTCGGCATCCCGTTGGCAATCTTGTTAGTATCCTCAGCAATTCTTCCCCTACTGCCCATCAATAACCATCTTCTTATCTTATCTCTTCTCCACTAACCTCAAAATCCAACTAGACCTTGAATGAACCTATTAACACAAAGCACACAAATTTAGTCAAACCCACAACAGAATACACAAAAACATGAATTACAGAAGACAAAAGCTAATAAATTCTGAACTAACTATAAGTTCAAGAAACATAAGTCAAGACAAAACAACACACAAAAAATCCGTACAAACAATAAATAAAGGACAAAACTTTGAAACTAAAAATCAATAATACCAAAACAAAACAAAAAAACTAATTTTGAAAAAAAAAAGGCCCACCTAGTAAAAACAAAGCTAAACACCATGAAATTGAAAAAGAAATAAGCTTTAGAAACTTAATTAAAAAAAAAGTGATTTTTGATGAGAATTATAGGGAAAAAATTGAAACTTGGAGAGGTTTAAGCAATACCCAGAAGAAGAAACAGGTGAGAAAATGGAAGTGCAAACCCTAAGCAAGTTGCAAGTTGAAGATAAATACCAAAGGTTATTGACTTTTTTGATCGAAAAGGAATAAAAAACAACTTTAATATTTTATTGTTAATGATGTTACACAGTAGTACAATTTTGTCTCTGATACTGAGAAAATTAAATTGAAATGATTTTAAAAAAATTAATGTTTTTATGATTATTATTATAACCGCATATTCAAAGAGGAGCATCAAGTTGATCTTTTTGGTGTAATAATTATGTAATATTTTTATGAGTGGAGGAAGCGTGACGTTCAGACCATTCCAATTTTCTGCAAAGGTCCTTTTCTTATCATACCTTTTTTTTTTTTATTGATGATATCTGAAAAATTTTAATTTTAAATTTCTGTTTTTTTTAACTTAAATTTAAATTTCTGTTAATTTACTGTTTTTTTTTTGTTATCATTTGTTTTTAATTATTCTAAGTGCATGTAACACTAACTTTCTAGTTGTTTACCACTTAAATTAATGAGACATTGGTAACCATCATTTTATCTAATATAATCCTTTTAAATTAAAAATATCTATGTTAAATAAATTGAAATTAAATACTAAGACTTGAATTACTCCTCAATCCCCTTTTTTTTTCTTCTCTTTTTATTTAAATGAGAGGTTATTAATATAGATTTGTTTCTTCTTTTTATGTGTTTTTAATTTTGCATCATTTTGTATGGTATTTGTTAATTTTTCTGTTTTAATATGATATCTGTTGGCTTAGATTGATATATTAACTTTAGTTTATTATAAATTTGATGAAGATTTAGGCGTCATATTACAGATTCGAAAATATAAATATTTTAATTATTTTTATTTTATCAAATTTGTAAACTCTTTCGTGTTATTGTTGTATGCTATTAATTTATGTATTATAAAATTGTTTGTAGATTCACTATTTTCAGTTTTTAATAATATTAAATTTGTAGTGATCTATGTATTTTTAATTTGAATAAATAAATATATATTTTTAGTCAAAAACTTAAGATAAAATATTTTATACTAATTAAATATATGTATGCTTGCGCGAGTTAATAAAACTTTATCTAATATTCCAGTCTGATATGTAATAAAATGAATACAATCAATTATGATAAGTAATGTACAAATTATTTATAAACTTATAATTTAGAAAATATGACAAGAACTACTAATATATTATCAAAACAATATAAAAAAAGGCAACAACTTTGTGATATACAATTAGAACAATACATAACCCTGCAAGAAAAAAATACAAGTTAGAAATATAAAATGAAATAAGAAAAACTGTTAAAGAAAGTTATATAGAAAAATAACATTTTGATATTAGTGTTTTTTTAGTTATCAGATGTTCTTAAAAACTTTTTTGAATGTAATATTTGTGGTTATATCCAAATATTGTTTCGGTTCGTCGTGAATTAAGATTTTCAATCCTTCTTTATTTTTTACTCTATAAAATGTAATATATAGTTGATTATAACTAAAAACCTCTTTAGATAAGTATAAATTGACGTAGTCTAATAATTATTTTTGAGTCTTATTAATGATAATTTATCATATAAGAAAACTCAAATTTGGTCTTTTTATATGTTGTCACGTGGCTTTCCGATATCACAACTATTATATTGTTACAAACTATCATTTTGTTTTCCTTTTCCCAAATGAAAAACATACGTGCTCCACTTCTTACTTCCATCCTAAACACGGCGGTTACAAAAACACACATTGCTCTTCAATTCTTTTCTCATTTCAATCTTCCACTGCCAGCGGTTACAACAATCAATCATTGTTTCAAATACGTTTCAGCCCTCCAACCCTCAAATTCTATTCAAAGCGGTTTTTCCTTCAAGCATCCCAATAATCACGCTTCAACCGTTCCAATGAATCATAGTTGTAATATTTATAACCCTTCATAGTTTCAACTTCTGACGCATCTTCTTCGCCCAGAATATCAAGTTTTTTTACTACTCATTCCCACCTCTATTTCATGGCCAAACCTGTGGAGAAAATCAGCAGCGTTAATGATAGCAAATAGTTGTGGAAGGTGTCTGTGAGAGTGCATCATAAATGGAAGTTTGTCTCTAACAACATAGAGGATTTTGAAATGATCTTTGTGGACAAAGCGGTAATTTCACATTTATGTTCATATGTGCTTCAGTTTTGTATTTGTTGTTATTTTTTATACAATCGAGGATTCTTTTTTATGCAATTAGCATAACTTAACCGTGCATTTGTGCATCACAGGGTGGTGATATATATGTGGTTGTCCCAGCAACACGTATGTCTCTGTTCGATGAGAAATTAGCATTGGATCATACATACACAATGTCCAATTTTAAGGTTCAGCCTAATGTATTGGCTTTCAGACCTTCGTCACACAAATTTATGGTCAAGTTTACTGGCGGAACGTCTATTGGGGATAATAACGAGAATGAAATACCAGTCAAATCGCTGGTGCTTACAAAGTTTTCTGACATAATCACCGGAAATTTTAACAAGGATGTACTGATAGGTGAAAACATTTTGTAACATGTTTTGTTTGTGCATTCATATTTGATATGTTATTTTACTCTTACTTTGAGGATGTGTTTTTTGTAGTGGAGAGTATTATATATTCACAAACGCAGTCGGGTGGCAAAAAACAACAAGTTAATATGGTGTTAAGGGACCATAGGTTTGTATATATGGTTTTGTGTCCTGCTATTCTATGATACAATATGTAAATGTATATTTCCTTCATGTTTTAAATAAGTATTATGTATTGTTTCTCTAGGAACAACACTTTGAACTACACCCTTTGGGAATCGTATGTTGTCCAATTTGTCAAGTTCAACCAGGATAGGGTCAATGTGTCGGGCCCGACTGTTGTCATGCTTCAATATGCAAAAGTGAAGGAAGAAGGTAAGTTGGGTTGTTTTGTTATTAGCTATAATTAATTATTTTTCCCAACTCAAACTTGTGTATTGTTGTGTTAATGTAGGGAAGTGTCTGCTTTCAATGACAAACACCTACAATGTAACTATGCTTTGCCTCAACGACTATTTTCCACCGATCAGATCGTTTATAGACAGGTACATTCTCCTTAACATGATTTGGGATGGATTCATCATTATTTAACATGAATCATTTATAATTTTGTTATGCATACAACATGCCCAAGGACTCTTTGGTTACTGTATCTGGCCAGCTAGGCTCTAATTCTCAACTTTCATCACATAGTTCTGAAAATCTACAAATTACTCATGTTCAGAAGTTACTCTCTAAGGTTGTTGTTATTCCTGTCGCTTCCATCATTAAATTACCAAATGTATGCACTACTTTATATTACAACTTTTCCTTTTTTTAAATTTGTCCTGCTGAGTCTGTTTGCCTCAATTACTATTTATATCATCTACTTTTTTTGCATATCACATTTTGTGCAACTGTTGCTGAAACAAAAGTATTGGTAGCGTCTCCCTTCGGCTGGTATTATCGTGCATGCCATGTTTGTCCATGCATAGCACGCGGTGATGAACCACCATTTGAGTGCGAGGTCGGTCATTCTACTGAGGCGAAAATATTTAGGTGTTACTATTTCTCGCAAATACATGTTATTCCAATGAAAATTATTCATTTTTTGTATATTCGGCAATGTAGTCACCTTTTAATTGGGACCCTAACCCTTATATTGTAAGTATAAGATTGATATTGAAGCCTATCACAAAGGGAAGACCTGTAACTTTGTATTTTGGAATAAAGAATGCAAGATGCTTTTGGGTTTATCTACTGCTCAGTTGCGTCATACTATGATCCAAGTTAATTCCTTTCTATAACTAAAATATATGCAGTTGTCATACACATTAATAATCGTTGTATTACCTTTCTTATATAGGCTATAATTAATGATCCATTGGAGTTCCTATTAGCACTTGATCAGATGTTAAATTTGGAGATGGCTTTTAAGGTCAAGTGGCAGACGTGTTGGAAGAATTGTTCGGTTGTTATGATGCTGAAAAATGATCCTATCATTAAACAACTTCCCTTTCAATGGGAAAAATTGAGGTATAATAAATGAATACGCCTTTTCTATTTTAGGTTTTCTATTCTGGTCATCTACAAAATTTCTACTGATTGTACTTTAATTACATCACATAGGCTACTGCTCCAGTCCCCTATATAAAGCCAGAGCCGATGCAGGTATTACCTCAATTTAACTGTTTTATTATACCTATTTTTGATTAGATTTGTTATTATGTTCATGTATGTTATACATTAGTAATACTTTTAATTATGTTTAGATTAAGGAGAGTGTTGACAAGGCAAAAACAAATGTCCTCAAAGAATCTGATTTGGTTACGATAACCTTCATTTCCCTTACGGTTTGTGCATAATTTTAATTGGGTTGGATAAGATATGTTGGTACATGTAAGTCATAAGTTTTTTGAAATTAATTATGTAATAGGATATTGATATCACATCAAAGCATAACTCATATCCAATTACACCTGCTGGTAAAAGACAACTACCAGATGCATCAAGTGAATCAACAACCTCAAAAGGGTTGTGTGATGGATAACTCTCATCAAACAAGCTGAAGAAAATTATCAAATTGGAGAAGAAGGATTAGTGATTGCTATAGTTTGTTATGTGTCTTTGGTGGTTTTACTTTTGTTTTATGTTAAGTTGTTGTTATTTTGTTTTATGACTTTTTACTTGTTTGTTTGGACATGTGTGATTAGACTTGTGTTACTTTGAGTTATCTTACCTTAATGTTAACACACTCCTGGTTTTCTGCCTTCGAGTATTTGGATTTAATGATGATGTTTACACAACTTCTCCTAGAAATGCTTGGATCTCAAGTTATTAATCCATGAAGTCATGGTCATGAAACTAAACACTTAGTGAAAATTTTGCCCTAATTTAGGCAGGATTTTGACCTAATTTCATGGCAATTTTTCACATAGTTCCAAGGGGAATTTTCAAAATTAATTCAAAGAGGGGTTGTAGAGCACATTATAAGCTTTCCAAAATTCCAAGAACTCCTTGAGATCATTCTTGAGCAAGGAGAATCGAAGAGAGGAAATTAGGGTTTTCAAACTAAAATTATAGGTCATTTTTGATGAACAAGAATTCAAAACTCAAGCCTATGCTGCACAATCTTGCTTTGCAGGCCTCTAAACCTCGAGATCTCTCCCTAATCAGAAGATTACACTTGCTTTTGAGCTATTATCCATTTGATTCAAGCTTTATCCATTACAATTTTCCATTAATGGCACAAAGGCACCATT